TTGTGGCCTGCTGGAGGTCATTTTGCAGGGCTCTGGCAGTGCTCTTCCTGCTCCTCCTTGCACAAAATGCGGAGGTAGCGGTCCTGCTGCTGGGTTGTTGCCCTCCTACGACCTCCTCCACGTCTTCTGATGTACTGGCCTGTCTCCTGGTAGCGCCTCCATGCTCTGGACACTACGCTGACAGACACAGCAAACCTTCTTGCCACAGCTCGCATTGATGTGCCATCCTGGATGAGCTGCACTACCTGAGCCACTTGTGTGGGTTGTAGACTCCGTCTCATGCTACCACTAGAGTGAAAGCACCGCCAGCATTCAAAAGTGACCAAAACATCAGCCAGGAAGCATAGGAACTGAGAAGTGGTCTGTGGTCACCACCTGCAGAACCACTTCTTTATTGGGGGTGTCTTGCTAATTGCCTATCATTTCCACCTGTTGTCTATTCCATTTGCACAACAGCATGTGAAATGTATTGTCAAGTGGACAGTTTGATTTCACAGAAGTGTGATTGACTTGGAGTTACATTGTGTTGTTTAAGTGTTCCCTTTATTTTTTTGAGCAGTGTATATATATATATATATATATATATACAGTGGGGGAAAAAAGTATTTAGTCAGCCACCAATTGTGCAAGTTCTCCCACTTAAAAAGATGAGAGTGGCCTGTAATTTTCATCATAGGTACATGTCAACTATGACAGACAAAATGAGAAAATAAATTCCAGAAAATCACATTGTAGGATTTTTAATGAATTTATTTGCAAATTATGGTGGAAAATAAGTATTTGATCAATAACAAAAGTTTCTCAATACTTTGTTATATACCCTTTGTTGGAAATGACACAGGTCAAACGTTTTCTGTAAGTCTTCACAAGGTTTTCACACACTGTTGCTGGTATTTTGGCCCATTCCTCCATGCAGATCTCCTCTAGAGCAGTGATGTTTTGGGGCTGTCGCTGGGCAACACGGACTTTCAATTCCCTCCAAAGATTTTCTATGGGGTTGAGATCTGGAGACTGGCTAGGCCACTCCAGGACCTTGAAATGCTTCTTACGAAGCCACTCCATCGTTGCCCGGGCGGTGTGTTTGGGATCATTGTCATGCTGAAAGACCCAGCCACGTTTCATCTTCAATGCCCTTGCTGATGGAAGGAGGTTTTCACTCAAAATCTCATGATACATGGCCCCATTCATTCTTTCCTTTACACGGATCAGTCGTCCTGGTCCCTTTGCAGAAAAACAGCCCCAAAGCATGATGTTTCCACCCCCATGCTTCACAGTAGGTATGGTGTTCTTTGGATGCAACTCTGCATTCTTTGTCCTCCAAACACGACGAGTTGAGTTTTTTACCAAAAAGTTATATTTTGGTTTCATCTGACCATATGACATTCTCCCAATCCTCTTCTGGATCATCCAAATGCACTCTAGCAAACTTCAGACGGGCCTGGACATGTACTGGCTTAAGCAGGGGGAACACGTCTTGCACTACAGGATTTGAGTCCCTGGCGGCGTAGTGTGTTACTGATGGTAGGCTTTGTTACTTTGGTCCCAGCTCTCTGCAGGTCATTCACTAGGTCCCCCCGTGTGGTTCTGGGATTTTTGCTCACCGTTCTTGTGATCATTTTGACCCCACGGGGTGAGATCTTGCGTGGAGCCCCAGATCGAGGGAGATTATCAGTGGTCTTGTATGTCTTCCATTTCCTAATAATTGCTCCCACAGTTGATTTCTTCAAACCAAGCTGCTTACCTATTGCAGATTCAGTCTTCCCAGCCTGGTACAGGTCTACAATTTTGTTTCTGGTGTCCTTTGACAGCTCTTTGGTCTTGGCCATAGTGGAGTTTGGAGTGTGACTGTTTGAGGTTGTGGACAGGTGTCTTTTATACTGATAACAAGTTCAAACAGGTGCCATTAATACAGGTAACGAGTGGAGGACAGAGGAGCCTCTTAAAGAAGAAGTTACAGGTCTGTGAGAGCCAGAAATCTTGCTTGTTAGTAGGTGACCAAATACTTATTTTCCACCATAATTTGCAAATAAATTCATTAAAAATCCTACAATGTGATTTTCTGGATTTATTTTCTCATTTTGTCTGTCATAGTTGACATGTACCTATGATGAAAATTACAGGCCACTCTCATCTTTTTAAGTGGGAGAACTTGCACAATTGGTGGCTGACTAAATACTTTTTTCCCCCACTGTATATATATATACAGTGAGGGAAAAGAGTATTTGATCCCCTGCTGATTTTGTACGTTTGCCCACTGACAAAGACATGATCAGTCTATAATTTTAATGGTAGGTTTATTTGAACAGTGAGAGACAGAATAACAACAACAAAATCCAGAAAAATGCATGTCAAAAATGTTATAAATTGATTTGCATTTTAATGAGGGAAATAAGTATTTGACCCCTCTGCAAAACATGACTTAGTACTTGGTGGCAAAACCCTTGTTGGCAATCACAGAGGTCAGACGTTTCTTGTAGTTGGCCACCAGGTTTGCACACATCTCAGGAGGGATTTTGTCCCACTCCTCTTTGCAGATCTTCTCCAAGTCATTAAGGTTTCGAGGCTGACGTTTGGCAACTCGAACCTTCAGCTCCCTCCACAGATTTTCTATGGGATTAAGGTCTGGAGACTGGCTAGGCCACTCCAGGACCTTAATGTGCTTCTTGAGCCACTCCTTTGTTTCCTTCGCCGTGTGTTTTGGGTCATTGTCATGCTGGAATACCCATCCACGACCCATTTTCAATGCCCTGGCTGAGGGAAGGAGGTTCTCACCCAAGATTTGACGGTACATGGCCCCGTCCATTGTCCCTTTGATGCGGTGAAGTTGTGCTGTCCCCTTAGCAGAAAAACACCCCCAAAGCATAATGTTTCCACCTCCATGGTTGACGATGAGGATGGTGTTCTTGGGGTCATAGGCAGCATTCCTCCTCCTCCAAACACGGCGAGTTGAGTTGATGCCAAAGAGCTCGATTTTGGTCTCATCTGACCACAACACTTTCACCCAGTTCTCCTCTGAATCATTCAGATGTTCATTGGCAAACTTCAGACGGCCCTGTATATGTGCTTTCTTGAGCAGGGGGACCTTGCGGGCGCTGCAGGATTTCAGTCCTTCACGGCGTAGTGTGTTACCAATAGTTTTCTTGGTGACTATGGTCCCAGCTGCCTTGAGATCATTGATAAGATCCTCCCGTGTAGTTCTGGGCTGATTCCTCACCGTTCTCATGATCATTGCAACTCCACGAGGTGAGATCTTGCATGGAGCCCCAGGCCGAGGGAGATTGACAGTTATTTTGTGTTTCTTCCATTTGCGAATAATTGCACCAACTGTTGTCACCTTCTCACCAAGCTGCTTGGCGATGGTCTTGTAGCCCATTCCAGCCTTGTGTAGGTCTACAATCTTGTCCCTGACATCCTTGGAGAGCTCTTTGGTCTTGGCCATGGTGGAGAGTTTGGAATCTGATTGATTGATTGCTTCTGTGGACAGGTGTCTTTTATACAGGTAAACTGAGATTAGGAGCACTCCCTTTAAGAGTGTGCTCCTAATCTCAGCTCGTTACCTGTATAAAAGACACCTGGGAGCCAGAAATCTTTCTGATTGAGAGGGGGTCAAATACTTATTTCCCTCATTAAAATGCAAATCAATTCATAACATTTGTTAAATGCGTTTTTCTGGATTTTTTTGTTGTTATTCTGTCTCTCACTGTTCAAATAAACCTACCATTAAATTATAGACTGATCATTTCTTTGTCAGTGGGCAAACGTACAAAATCAGCAGGGGATCAAATACTTTTTTCTCTCACTATATATATATATATATATATATATATATATATATATATATATATATATATATATATATATTACCAGTCAAAAGTTTGGACACACCTACTCATTCAAGAGTTGCTTTATTTTTACTATTTTTTACATTGTAGAATAATAGTGAAGACATCAAAACTATGAAATAACACATATGGAATCATGTAGTAACCAAAAAAAGTGTTAAGCAAATCAAAATATATTTTATATTTGAGATTCTTCAAAGTAGCCACCCTTTGCCTTGATGACAGCTTTGCACACTCTTGGCATTCTAACATATCTCATGTTACTATGTAATGTCATGACTTGTCATGCTGATTCATTGCGCTATCTGACCTAAGACAATGAAAACACTCCTTCAAAGATTACCTCAAATTGTCTTCACATGCTTATTTATTTCCTCTCTAACCTAAACAGAGTCAATTTAGCACACACACACACACACACATCTAGACACACTAGCAAATTCAAGTAGAGTCACTCAAATCTGCTGATGGTAGCCCTACAACAAGTATGATACCAATAAGGAGGTGTTAGAAAATGTTATATGTACAATGGTATTACAAAACAAAACTTTAACCAAGTGATCGTGTCAAAGAGGGGATCATGCACTGCTGTTTAATGCCAATAGGTGGCCTCCTACTCAATGAAGGATGGTGGTTAAAGGCCCAGTGCAGTCAAAATGCAGTTTTTGTACAACAGCTGAAGAAGCGAGCACTGTAAAAGTGTGCAAAAATGTGATCAGTGTTATTTCACACAGGGCCTTCTAATCAGCAGTTTTTAAATGGGTGGAGTTTTGGCTTGCCTGGTGATATCACCAGGCTGTCTAAGTTAATATTCAAATCACAAAGAAAGTTACAAACCTCTCTGCCAATAACAGGTAGTTTTCAGGTTACATATCCCTCCCAATAGACCCCTCCAATTAGGCCCCTCATTCAGACCACTCCCAGACAGTTCTACCAAAATTCATGCTTGAGAAATAGTTTTTTGCTAAAAAGCTACTTTTGTTTCTTTTTGACAATTTTAATGGAAAACAATTATAGTAAGGTACTTAATTGTCACTCAGAAATGATTTCATATTGAGATAAAAACAGCTGCATTGGGCCTTTAAAAAATAGACAGGGTGGATTACAGGATGCAGATGCTGGAACACTGACAGGCACAGCATGACAGGGAACCGTACCTTTACCAACCCAGTGATGGGAGGAAGAGGGGGTGGGGAAAGAAGTGAGGCCAAGGGAGGACATTCTCTGCTCGTTCTCCTGGAATAACTCAAGGAAGAGCGAGAGAGGGAGCGAAATAGAGGTAGATGGAGAGAGCACATGTGAGAGAGGAGGCCGGGTGAGATGGAGAAAGGGGGAGAGCAGATGGAATACCTAACAGGGATTTTTCTCAAGAAGTAGAATAACAGCATTAAGAGGGTGTGACTTATAGAGGGTGTGAGTCAGATAAGTCAGATCCTGTAAAAAGGGTGAGCTCACCTCTAAGTTTGTCCGTGCCTTCTTCAAGACATCCTTTGTTCTTGACACTGTAAACAATCAGAAACAAAACCGTTGTGATTCATCTGTGACTATCACCCATCACTTCAACACACATACAAACACAAAAGTGAGTCATTAATTCCCAAGGCCCTCACACAATCTGTGCTGAGGGACACACACACACACACACAGAGAGAGACAGAAAGGAAAAGGCCTTGCTCTGCTCCTTCAGTCCTTACATAACCCCAGGTGTCACCACAGCATCAGTGTGCAGTATGGGAGTTACAGAGAGGGGAGGAATGAGGGGGAGAAATTATGAACAAAGGAATGAACAAAAGGGAAGATACATGACTGGGCATATAAGGAGAAGACAGGACAGGGGGAGAGAAAGAAGAACACAGAGCAGGGAAGGGAAGGAGGGGAGAGGTAAATAAAGGAGAAAATATATTTAGGACCAAGAGGAGGAGAGTGATAGGAGTCACTTACGTTGACTGACGATGAAGTGTTCCATGCTGTCTTTGGTGCGGTTGGAGCTCTTCAGTCTCTCCATGGCGTCCTTTAAAGCCTCCTCCTGCTCCGAGATCCGCTGATGCATCGAGTGGACCTCCTTTAGAGACAGCTCCTGGACACACACACAGACAGATAAAACACACCGTCACACTTCAGAAAGTCCACCTAGTGACAAATTCATTTAAAAAGTCACCACTAAAGCATACATACACTCTCAAACATGATAGGTGAATTCACACACACACAACACGATAACAGCATAAGAAAATACCCTTCATTTAACTCTTACAAACAAACAAAGAGTATGGGATTCTGACCTTCTTGGTGCTCTGAGTAGACCCCTCACTACTGGGCAGTGCTGCCCTCCAGAACATTCTGAGCAGGGAGCTGGCATCCTCAAGGATCTGCCTCAGGGTCTTAGTGCTAGTCAACAGACGCCTCACACAGCCAGGGTCCACAGGCTGGCACACGGAGAGAGAGAGATCCACAGAGACAGTTAGACTAAACTAATCTAACTAAAACACAGGTAAACAATACAAAAGTTGAACATATTTTCAGCTCAACTAGCTATACTGTATGCCACACTACTAGGATGAAGCATGAGTTTAATTTAAACCAAGGATCTAAAAGTTACTGTCGAGCATCATTAACTCCTCTGTAAGGTGTCTGTGAATCCTCTAACCTCTAACTCAGTGGTTTTTAACCCTTTCCTCGGTTTCACAATTTTGTTGTAGCCTTGAACTAGCTCACCTGATTCACCAAGTCAATGGCTTGATGATTAGTTGACAAGTTGAATCAAGTGTGCTGGCTGTGGAATAGTTAAAATACATGGAACGGCTGGGGGTCCCCGAGGAGAGGTTTGAAAACCCCTGGACTAACTGACCCCTCTCACCTTGTCCAGGCTGAGCTCCAGCAGGGCGTGGTTGGTGGTGGCCTGGAGGGCAGCCTCCATCTTGCCGATGAGGACACGCCCCTCCAGGATCTGCTGCTGCAGGGCGCTGAAGTCATCCACGTTGCCCACAGCGTGGCGGCCATTACGGTTTGCGAAGGAGCCGTCTGGAGCCTGGCCCTCCAGAGAAGAGTCAACCTCCTGGGGTTCCAGTGCGGGGGAGAGAGGGGAAGCAGGGTTGAAGAGTCCAGTGTCTCGGACAGGGGGAGAGAGAGCAGGGTCTGTGAGCAGGAGAGGAAGATTGGGAATGAGTGTTAGATACGGGTCAATCTCAAATGGCATGGTGTCCTATTCCCTATAAAGTGCACAACTTTTGTCCAAGGCTCTGGGCAAAAGTAGTGCACTATATTTTTATTTTATTTAACTAGGCAAGTCAGTTAAGAACAAATTCTTATTTACAATGACGGCCTACACCGGCCAAACCCGGACGACGCTGGACCTATGGGACTCCCAATCACGACCGGTTGTGATACAGCCTGGAATCGAACCAGGGGGTCTGTAGTGACGCCTCAAGCACTGAGATGCAGTGCCTTAGACCGCTGCGCCACTTGGGAGTCCATAGGGAATACAGTGCAATTTCAGACACATTCTTACTTAAGTTCTGTGTCAGTATAAATGTGGTTCAATCAGTGGTAACATGTTAACCCTATCCCAGAATGCTTTCCAGTGTGGCGCTCTCTCACCGTGGAAGAGCTGTATCCTGGCTCCAGGAGGGCGTGTCCCAGAAGTCAACTGCTGCCCCAGCTGAACATGCAGGTCCCTGTGGTCAAAGGGCGCAGACTCCCATGAGTGTGACCCCTCACCTGTGTGTGTGTTCTTGGGGACACCACACACTCTGTGGTATATCTGGAGGTCATACTGTAGAGAGTGGGCCAGGCCACGGCTCTCACACAACTGCTGCTGCAGGACATTCACATCGTGCTGCAACCTAGACACACACACACACAACACAGTTCCACACATGTAACAAAACAATAATCACACAACAGAGATGCACACACACGCACGCATGCATGAACACAGACACACACAGACACTCCTCCTACCTGTTGATGGCCTCCTGGTTGCTCTGCCTGTCCTGTTTCAGCTGAGTGATCTCCAGGGTCTGAGCCTTTGTCTGCGTCTGCAGCCTCCTGCCCTGCTCCGCCCACCGCTCTGTCTCTAACTCCGCCTCCTTCACACGGGCACGCCCCAACAGCACCGCCTCCCGCAGCTGCTCTACCTCCTTACTGCCTTCTGGGGAAGAGTACAGAGGAACTCAGATAAAGACAGAAATGACTAGGAATAATTTGGTTACGTGATAATGCCCGAGAAGCTGGAGTTTGGAGGATATATTGGCACGGGTGTTGTTTGTCTCGGGCCGGCAAACTGTGCCAATATATCCTCCAAACACCGGCTTCGAGGGCATTATCACTTTTATACAACGGTTACCAACAAAAAAATTGTTTGATGAAATTATTCATACTATTTCATGCTTCCACAAGATATAGTCCCGACACAAATCTAGGGTTGCTACCCAAGCTTGCTGGTTGTTCGTTCTTTCGGTTCGGTTGCCAGAGACGCTACCCAGTCATTAAGTATTTTTGTTCTGTATCCAGTCGTTCGTTCTAAATGTTCTATTGCCATACTGGCTGGCAACGTTCTTATCCCTTGCTTGCTAGCTAGCCAACTAGGGCTAACTTACAGTCACGTCAAACAGTGTGGCCTCGCTTAAGCTGTTTTCTAGTGACATTTATTTGGATCCATCCAGAACAATGAGCTAATGATCCGCGATTTCACCTGGAATAGAAAATGTGCGGTCTCTCGTCAGGACACTGTTGTTCAGAGGAGCTAGCCAACAACACAGCTAACACAATCACTTCAAACTGAAGCTGGAAAGACTGCAAACTAGCTGCATTATTATTATATTTATATTTATTTGTATATATTGTGACGTCACGAGAGGCTACACAGCTTTCAGCGGGGTTGCTCAAGTAGTGCAAGGAGACAAGGTTCAAACAAACCAAGGATTTTATTATAGGTCTTGGGAAATTAACGAAAATATAACAAAAGTCTGTTCTCTTGTGGCTCTTTAAGGGTTAACAGTTCAGGGATGTCTCTTCCACATCCAAAATCATAATTCTCACTCGCTCAGATAACTTTTCCCCAGCCTTACTGTAGTCCACATTGCAGCTAGTGGCCAACCCAGCAAAAAGTCCTTCCAAATGTCTCTCACGTATTTCCACAGGTGCATATATCCACAGGTGAGTATTTCCCAAAGGTAAGTGTCTCCAAATCCTTATATTCCTCCTGGAAGTGGACGTGCAGCACTCTTGTCCTCCAGAGAGCCCAGGTTGGAGACTGTGTTTCTTCACCACCCACACACTCTCTCAGTGTGTCTCTTCCCTTCACAAAACCTTCAGCTCATCAGCTCCTCATTTGTTTCAGCTGCGTGGGAAGATTGGCCATAGAGGGGTGGAGTTCCCGACCATACCAGCAGATGGAGCCATAGCTGTCTGGGTTTGCAGCCACCTCAGGGGGATGTAACGTCCCTCCAGGACACAGCCTCTCGTGACATCACACATCCCCCTCCTCGGGACCGACGTCCTCGTCGGGGTAAAGGCAGCGAAGAAGGCATCACGCCGGGAGAGGGCGTCCGCATTGCCGTGGTGCTTGCCAGCCCATACTGGCCTGTGAGAGGGGGAAGCTCTTGGGTGCCTGGGACGTCTTCTTCCCTGGAGAACGGAGCACTTTCCTGGGCTGCGTTCTCTTCTCCCGTATCCGGACCAGTCTCTGTGTCGGTCTGGGCACCTGCCATCCCTATCAGAGCCTCTCCGTTTCCGAGGTACTCGGGTTATCCTCTCCTGAGACTCTCTCCAGAGTGGGTAAAAGGCTGGGCAGTCTCGTCCAATTAGGACAGGGACGGGGAGGGAATCAACCACCCCCGCCGTCGTGTGTATGGTTCCCAGTGTGCTGGTCATTGTAAGTTCAGTAATGGGGTATTCTCTGGTGTCCCCATGGACACAGGAAACTGGGAGGACTTTCCCCGGGGTCAGACACGTTGGGCCCACCAAATCCTTACGCACCAGGGTGGCCCGGCTACCAGAATCCAGTAAGGCCTCCACATCATGGTGATTCACAGTTACCGGGCAGGTGGGGGGTCGATCTGGGCCGCCATCTACGACTCCCAAGAGCGAGGCAACACGGTGTGTGGGTGCTGAGCTGGAGGACTCCGCAGTGGGCATAGGTTCATCGGCTGGTTTCCCACACTGCCAGGAGATATGTCCCATCTCCCCACACCGGTAACACTGTCGAGTTTCCCCCTCCTGGTGTACTCTTCTTGGACCCGCCTGGTTTCTGGCTCCCCCTGGAGCCGGGATAAGTCCTGACGTGGCTGGGTTCGAGACCTTGGGGTCCTTTCGGGAAGCATTCAGCATCTCCGCTGTGGCCTGGTACTTTTCCACAGCTTCCACGGTCAGATCCGCCGTGGTCAAGGCCTGTTGACTGATGAACCGTTTTGCCTCATAAGGCAGGGCGCGTAGGTAACGATCCACCACAACGGCCTCCACCACCGCCGCTGCTGTATTCCTCTGCGGATCCAGCCATTTCCTTGCGATTCGGACAAGTTCATGCATCTGCGCCCGAGGAGGTTGGTCTGGTTGGAAGGTCCAGCTGTGAAAGCGCTGGGCCATACCAAACTTTGTGAGTCCATATCTGCTGAGGATCTCAGACTTCAGGGCATCATAGTCAGTAACCTGGTCAGGGCCCAGGTCCCGGACAGCATTCAGCGATTCCCCAGTTAGAAAGGGGGCTAACAGACCAACCCACTGTTGCTTGGGCCAGGCTTCCCTAGTGGCCGTGGCCTCAAATGCATGCAGGTATGCCTCAATGTCATCGGTAGCTCCCATCTTAGATATAAAGTCACTTGCCTTTATTGGGCGGGTATTTTGGACAACCCTCTGTCTCTGCAACTGCAATTCCTCTGCCTTCAGAAGGTTGGCTTTCTTTTGCTCCTCCCAGAGAGCCACGTTTGCTTGCATCTGGGCTTGCTGGCCAGCAACAAGGGCTTTCAACATGTCCTCCATTTCAGTCGGCGGGGAGCCTACGGCCAACTTGGAAAACTGGGTGATCAAACCTTCGGTATCCTCCTCTGACATGCACTATTAACGCTTGAGCTTGCCCGTGTTCTCCACCATCTGTGACGTCACGAGAGGCTACACAGCTTTCAGCGGGGTTGCTCAAGTAGTGCAAGGAGACAAGGTTCAAACAAACCAAGGATTTTATTATAGGTCTTGGGAAATTAACGAAAATATAACAAAAGTCTGTTCTCTTGTGGCTCTTTAAGGGTTAACAGTTCAGGGATGTCTCTTCCACATCCAAAATCATAATTCTCACTCGCTCAGATAACTTTTCCCCAGCCTTACTGTAGTCCACGTTGCAGCTAGTGGCCAACCCAGCAAAAAGTCCTTCCAAATGTCTCTCACGTATTTCCACAGGTGCATATATCCACAGGTGAGTATTTCCCAAAGGTAAGTGTCTCCAAATCCTTATATTCCTCCTGGAAGTGGACGTGCAGCACTCTTGTCCTCCAGAGAGCCCAGGTTGGAGACTGTGTTTCTTCACCACCCACACACTCTCTCAGTGTGTCTCTTCCCTTCACAAAACCTTCAGCTCATCAGCTCCTCATTTGTTTCAGCTGCGTGGGAAGATTGGCCATAGAGGGGTGGAGTTCCCGACCATACCAGCAGATGGAGCCATAGCTGTCTGGGTTTGCAGCCACCTCAGGGGGATGTAACGTCCCTCCAGGACACAGCCTCTCGTGACATCACAATATCCATAAAAATTATGCATATTCATGATTTCGACTGGCTGAGAAAAGCTGCCTGTCTGTCTCATCCCGACTCCCGACCCGTTCATTACTATGCGACAGCTGGAGATCAAATTTGAATATTAAAACAATGTTATCAGCGAGACAGACAGCAAAGTTTATACAAATCTCCGCTGTTGAAAACTAAATGCTAGTCTAAAGGAAATGTGAGATGATGTCTAGATGCTTTTTATAGTGGAGATCAAGTTTATAAATTGCCTGGCTGGGCTGATGAAACAGTGGATTGCGCAGTCAGATGGAACAGAGTAAATAGGCATTTTAACGTCATAGCTTTAGCCGGTGGTAACTTGTGGAATAGACACCGGCTGGAATGCGGTTTTAACCAATCAGCATTCAGGATTAGACCCACCCGTTGTATAATATAATGAGACTCAATAGTCCTCATTCTCTTCTCAGTGTGTGTAATATACAGTATGTCATTTAGCAGACGCTTTTATCCAAAGTGACTTACATTTTACGTATGGGTGGTCCTGGGAATCAAACCCATTGGTATTGCAAGCGCGATGCACTACCATCTGAGCTACAGAGCAGAAGTGTGTTGGGTAGTATATTAGGCAGCATTGAGAGTACTAGGAGCTAGGCGGTTGGTTACCTCTGCTGGCCTGTTGGAGTCGGGCCTGCAGGCTGAGGTTCTCCGCTTTCAGAACTCGGATCTCACTGGACAGCTGGCTGACAGAGTCCAAGCCCTGGATGTAGATGTTGGTGGGAGCACCTGAGGAAGAGAAGGAGGAGGAGGAGGGGGGAGGAGGAGGAGGAGGAGGAGGAGGAAGATGAGGAGGAGGAAGATGAGGAAGAGGAACAGTACATTTCACTAATGCCTTTTGACACAGTGACTGCCAACACTTACTTAGTACAGGTAGACAATTTGGGTGTGTAGAATATATGTTCCTGGTTTGAGACAGCAGGTGTGATGGTGGTCTAGTTAATACCTTTATCTCTGGCTTGGTTGGCCAGTCTATCCTCCAGCTGCTGTCGGAGGCGGTCGTTGGTCTGAATGGAATCCTCCAGGCGTTGACGTAGACTCCTGATCTCTCTCAGGTGCTCGTTCATCAGGTCAGAACCTGCACAGGAACACACAGCGTACACATCAAAATACTGTTTACATTTCACAACATAAAAAAACGTGTATAAAATACAGTTGAAGTCAGAAGTTTACACACAACTTAGCCAAATACATTTAAACTCAGTTTTTCACAATTCCTGACATTTAATCCTAGTAAGAATTCCCTGTCTTAGGTCAGTTAGGATCACCAATTTATATTAAGAATATAAAATGTCAGAATAATAGTGGAGAGAATTAATTATTTCAGCTTTTATTTCTTTCATCACATTCCCAGTGGGTCAGAAGTTTACATACACTCAATTAGTATTTGATAGCATTGCCTTAAAATGTTTAACTTGGGTCAAACGTTTCGGGTAGCCTTCCACAAGCTTCCCACAATAAAATGGGTGAATTTTGGCCCATTCCTCCTGACAGAGCTGGTGTAACTGAGTCAGGTTTGTAGGCCTCCTTGCTCGCACACGCTTTTTCAGTTCTGCCCACACATTTTCTATAGGATTGAGGTCAGGGCTTAGTGATGGCCACTCCAATACCTTGACTTTGCTGTCCTTAAGCCATAACTTTGGAAGTATGCTTGGGATTATTGTCCATTTGGAAGACCCATTTGCGACCAAGCTTTAACTTCCTGACTGATGTCTTGAGATGTTGCTTCAATATATCCACATAATTTTCCTTCCTCATGATGCCATCTATTTTGTGAAGTGCACCAGTCCCTCCTGCAGCAAAGCACCCCCACAGCATGATGCTGCCACCCCCGTGCTTCACGGTTGGGATGGTGTTGTTCGGCTTGCAAGCACCCCCTTTTTCCTCCAAACATAACGATGGTCATTATGGCCAAACAGTTCTATTTTTGTTTCATCAGACCAGAGGACATTTCTCCCAAAAGTACGATCTTTGTCCCCATGTGCAGTTGCAAAACGTAGTCTGGCTTTTTTATAGCGGTTTTGGAGCAGTGACTTCTTCCTTGCTGAGCGGCCTTTCAGGTTATGTCGATATAGGACTCGTTTTACTGTGGATATAGATACTTTTGTACCTGTTTCCTCCAGCATCTTCACAAGGTCCTTTGCTGTTGTTCTGGGATTGATTTGCACTTTTCGCACCAAAGTACGTTCATCTCTAGGAGACAGAATGCGTCCGTCTCCTTCCTGAGCGGTATGACGGCTAAGTGGTCCCATGGTGTTTATACTTGCGTACTATTGTTTGTAAAGATTAATGTGGTACCTTCAGGCGTTTGGAAATTGCTCCCAAGGATGAACTAGACTTGTGGAGGTCTACAATTTTTTTTCTGAGATCTTGGCTGATTTCTTTTGGTTTTCCAATGATGTCAACCAAAGAGGCACTGAGTTTGAAGGTAGGCCTTGAAATATATCCACAGGTACACCTCAAATTGACTCAAATGATTTCAATTAGCCTATCAGAAGCTTCTAAAGCCATGACATCATTTTTTTGTTTTGGCAAGTCGGTTAGGACATCTACTTTGTGCATGACACAAGTAGTAAAATAACAATAGGGAGGCTATATACAGGGGGTACCGGTACAGAGTCAATGTGTTAGTCGATGTAAGAACAGTAGGGAGGCTATATACAGAGGGTACCGGCACAGAGTCAATGTGCGGGGGCACCGGTTAGTCGAGGTAATTGAGGTAATATGTACATGTATTATGCATATCATCTGGGATATGCGTGGTACGATCTGTAAACTCATTACAGGTAGGACACACACACATACACACACATATAATCTCATTAAAACTCAAACATACACACACCTGTATGGCTGGTACCAGATTGGTACCCTGACGACCCTGATGACAAATCAGCAGCGCCAACTCTCACTGACCGAGCACCGTAGGCCATGTCCCACATTGCACTACTCTCCAGGAGACTGGCGCCTGCCTTCATGGCAGGGCTAGCGTTGAGGCTAGCGTTCAGACCAGCGGGGTGGAAGGTGTGGTAGGACAGAGGCTGGGGCAGGTAACTGGAGGGGTCTGTCTGGGGTTGGGGGTGGGGGTGAGCCGATATGGGGAAGCCACCAAACGGCTTGGCTGAAGGAACGGCAAAACCTGCAGTAAGAAATAGAGAAAAACCCAATGTTAGCGTGCCAGGCAGCTTGTTGTGAGATAGATGAGTCAGAGAGTCAGAGAGAGTCAGAACACTAACACAGCCTCAACAGAGAGTCAGAACACTAACACAGCCTTGCTCTTCCCTCTCGCTCTTCCCTCTTCCCTCCCTCTCTTCCCTCCCTCTCTCCCCTCCCTCTCTCCCCTCCCTCTCTCCCCTCTCTCTCTTCCCTCTCCCCTCTCTCTTCCCCCCCTCTCTTCCCTCTCTCTCTTTCCTCTCTCGCTTTCCTCCCTCTCTTTCCCCCCTCTCTTTCCTCCCTCTCCTTCTCTCTTCCCTCCATGTTCCGAGAGCCTAGAGACAGCACTGTCACACGTCCTACCCCATTCAGATGAAGAGCGAGATGAGTGGTCGGTTAGCACGCACAAGTTAGCACGCACACTCACACATTTAATCACGCTAGTCTGGATCTCAACAGGACATTACACGTGCAGTCCGCTTGACATTACTGCCAGGCGACAGAGTTCAGAGGAACAACCTGATGGGTGGTGGGTTAGCATGCTAGTCTGGAAGAGGACATTACTGCCAGGACAGATTTCAGAGGAAGAATCTGATGGGCGGTGGGTTAGCATGCTAGTCTGGAGGAGGACATTACTGACAGGATAGATTTCAGAGGAAAAACCTGATGGGCGGTGGGTTAGCATGCTAGTCTGGAGAAGGAGATTACTGCCAGGAGACAGAGTTCAGAGCTTTGAATATGAAACTCACTTAGTGTACATACAGGTAATCAATGCAAACTTATGTGAGCTAATCAATGTATCTGGACCTTAAATCCTGTGTTCATATTGCCATTTCAACTACTAGTATCCCCATGCCAAATTACACTATTACTAATACAGGGTCCATTTTAGAGCGTATAACCTCATGTAATTACGTGATGTGTTTAAAGAGAGACTAATTTAGTCACTCCATGCTACACACACATGGGTGCAGAGTGACGCACGCTCAGTATCTCCCAGCTGTCTCTGTAACATCTGCAGCTCCTGGTGAACCTCTGCCAGGGAGAAGGCCCCGGGCCTGCTTCCATGGTAACGGGGTCGCAGGGTTGCAGTCTGGGGGTCAAAGGGCAGGGGGGCTCTCTGAGAGGAGAGGTCGGGGTGGTAGAGGGGATGGGGATGGGGATGGGACTGGGGCTGATGAGGGGTGGGGAGGGAACTGGACAATGGTCCACTATAGAGGCCTGGAGGTACGGAGGAGAAATACAGATGAGGACAGAGAGAAAGGAGAGGACAGAGAGAAGAAGAGAGGACAGAGAGAAGAAGAGAGGACAGAGAGAAGAGAGGACAGGGATACAGGAAGAGGTATGAGGGAACAAAACACTTCAATGTCTGGACATGATATGACAAGAACAGTATGTGGATCCAGTGAAACTCTCCCTGTCTGTCTGTCTGTCTGCCTACCTGTCTGTGTCTGTGTGTCCGCTGACCGCTGCAGGCTGGGACAGCTGATGGAAGACTGGTGTCCGTGGGATGAAGTGGTGGAAGGAGGGATGGAGGGGTGACGTGATATGGGGACACTGTTACAGTGAGAATCTGAAATGAAACAGAGATGAGGAATGAAAAAATGACAGATGAGTTGTTCACTGTTGGTCATGCATTACAAATATGGATGTGCAGTCATCTGTGTGTGTGTGTGTGTGTGTGTGTATGTGTGTGTGTGTGTATGTGTGTGTGTGTATGTGTGTGACCATTTGTGACCCGTTTCAGGAAGCTAGGCATATGTCGCACGTCACTACTTCACAGGAGAGGCATTTAAACTACATTTTTTAATCAAAATGCGTTTTTGGGTGGAAATGCCATCTGGAACATGTGAACTTTCATGTGCCTAAATAACAAACTTGTATTCCATCTGTAAATACGAACAAAAAATGTAAATTATGAGCCTAGTTGGTTTAGCCACAGAAAAAGACAGGAATCTTCCCGCTAGCCATGATTGGCTAAGACAATGGATGGGCTGGACATGCCGGGATTTGAGTTTGAATTGGTCTGCCATGTAGCATGCTTCTATCTATAACGTGAGCTGCTCAGTATGTGTTGATAATCCTTTCTACTGCGGCTTTTTTGAAAGATATAACATTAGCCATCGAGAACTACAAAAGTTGTGCTACTTTTCTCAACAACATTGATGCCCTGAATTTAGAAGGTGCTATCGACAGATCAGTTGGAAAAAGTTGTGATGGGCTACTTTTTGCACACGCCATGGTCAGTGTGAACCAGAGTGTCTTGACACAACGCTGAACAAACAAGTTAAATAAAACAGTTAAATGGTTCCAGTCTGCCATGAAGCGTTCATCCATGTATACGGGAAAGAGTCTAGTTACATTTTCAGATATTATACGTTTCTAATTTTGTCAGAAAGTCATTTCATTGCAAGTTAAAGCGTACTGTTCGCTAGCTAGCAAACATTAGCTTGCTGGCTCCCTGCTATCGTTACATGTATGACCTGTGTAGTAATATTATTCAAATCAGAAATCCATTTGGATTGCTAGTTATAGCCTAATGTTAGCTAGCTAGCTAACATTGAACCTAGTTGGTTAGCTTTAGCTACCTGCAGATTCATACTACAGCTATGACAATCAGTTTGTATTGTTAGTAGTATGAGTTGAGATTATGTCGGTTCATTGTTTAGCTAGCTAGCTAGCTACATGTTTAAACAAAAGACTCCACTGCACCAGATGACTACATGACCCATCAAGTTAGCCAGGTGTGTCTGGGGGTGATTACGGCCATCTATTGTATTTCATGAACATGTGTACATGTCTAGACAATAGTGACCCATCTACTTTGCTAGATGTGGCTGGGGGGTGGTTATAGCATAATGTCTGGGTAAGCGTCATCTAATAATTATCTGGACACTTTCTGTTTTTGATATTGCTACTATGCAAATATGCAAGTAACCATTTCACTGTACCGTTTACACCTTCTGTATCCTGTGCATGTGACAAATAAACTTAGATTTTATTTGATATAGTGTGTGTTTACCAGAGACGGTAATGTGAAGAACAACATGACCTGCACCAAAGTCAGATTAGGATATAGGCCAAGGACTAGATAAAGTGTAATTTTACGTGGAGTTTTTCCTTATTGTAGGCTACTACTTTTACACTTTTTAGTCTTGATATCTTTGGTTGTTTACTACACTAATTACTCTGTTTGAAAGTTGAGGAGGCTGAACCTCAGGAGGCTGAAGACATTCGGCTTGGCACCTAAAACCCTCACAAACTTTTACAGATGCACAATTGAGAGCATCCTGTCGGGCTGTATCACCGCCTGGTATGGCAACTGCACCACCCACAACCGCATGGCTCTCCAGAGGGTGGTGCGGTCTGCCGAACGCATTACCGGGGGCAAACTACCCGCCCTCCAAGACACATACAGCACCCGATGTCACAGGAAGGCCAAAAAGATCATCAAGGACATCAACCACCCGAGCCACAGCCTGTTCACCCCGCTATCATCCAGAATGCGAGGTCAGTACAGGTGCATCAAAGCTGGGACCGAGAGAATGAAAAACAGCTTCTATCTTAAGGCCATCAGACTGTTAAATAGCCATCACTAGCACATTAGAGGCTGCTGCTGCCTATTGAAATCACTGGCCACTTTAAGAAATGGAACACTAGTCACTTTAATAATGTTATCATATCTTGCACTACTCATCTCATATGTATATACTGCATTCTATTCTATAATATTATACTGTATCTTAGTCCATGCCGCTCTGTCATTGCTTGTCCATATATGTGTATATTCTTAAATTCCATTCCTTACTAGTTTTGTTTGTATTGGGTATATGTTGTGAAATTGTTAGATATTACTGCACTGTCGGAGCTAGAAGCACAAGCTTTTCTCTACACCCGCAATAACATCTGCTAATCACGTGTATGTGACAAATAAAATTTGATTTGATTTGTTTAGCACATGGCCTCACATGTGAATCCTTAAAGAGATGGGTGGGGCTAAGGCTTAAGTGGGTGTGAACGATGCTGAATGGTGTAGACAAAGAAGAGCTCTCCAGTAGGTGTACCAAAACATTCAAGGACCATTTTGTCAAACGTGGAGTTACAGGTTTATCAACTTTCAAAGCAGAATTACTTTCCTATTGATCCTTAACTGCAGTGTATGATATACTATTTTCTAGCTCTGAGTCTCTACTTTAATCCAATATAAAAAACACAATTTCAAATGTTGCTACATAGGACCGAATCCAGGTGGGTCACATTTACCTGTACTGGCTCTAGTGGAGGCACCTCTGTCCTTCTGGCCATACTCGCTGGCTGCGTCAATGTCTGAGCACAGCTCCAGGTCCTCATTGGTGGAGCCCTGCTCATCGGACACAAAGGAGATGTGATCTGATTGGTCGGTGGTGTCAGAGAGGGCGTGGCTACTGTATGGTGTGTCAGAACGAGGCTGATGCTGGGTGAGTTTGGCACGGAGAGACTCGATCACCTTATCCTTCTGTTGGAGCTCCTTACTCAGCCTGTACACAAACAAAGAGGGAGACACTCAGTGATCTTGTCCTTGCAAACGTATGACCATACACCTGCTCTCTAGGCTTTTCAGTAGCAGAGATGTCAAGATGTACAGTAAGCAGTTTCTGCATTGTCACACCACCACCGAATGCTAACAGATGCAGAAAACAAAGCATGATTAAGCTATTAGCTGTCCTGTTCTGTCCTGTACAGACAGAGAAAGAGGCTTGGTGATCTGATCCTTCCTGAAGCTGCTTACTGCCCACAGACACAGACAGACAGGGATCGACATAGACACAGAGACACAGACAGGCAGGGATCGACACAGACACAGAGACACAGACAGGCAGGGATCAGCACAGACACAGAGACACAGACAGGCAGGGATCAACACAGCCACAGAGACACAGACAGGCAGGGATCAGCACAGACACAGAGACACAGACAGGCAGGGATCAACACAGACACATACAGTAGGTGACCACTGACTGGCACATTAACTCAAGATCATATATGGTAAGTTTGGACACGAGACAAACATGTGCGATGCATACATGTAATCATAACAAAGAGAACGTGATAGACACACACACACACACACACACACACACACAGGCTATTCCCCCTCAGCTGAATGAATGAATTGATTGCAGCACCCTGAGTGAAGGTCAACTCACCAATCTAAACCTGTCCCAGGCTGATCCCTCTACACACATACACACACACACACACACCGGCTTCTCTTCTGAAGGACTTGCTGTATAGTACACAGTTAGCTATTACTATCACTCTCACTTTACTACAAAAATAAATGTATGCTTCTTTCTGCCTTACTTTTCCATCTGCCTGTGCAGGGCCCTTCTCTCTCTTTCAGTGTGTTTTCTATACAGGGCCAGTTCTCTCTCCTGGACCCGGCTCTCCCACAGAGAGAAGGAGAACAGAGAGTCTCTGTACAGAGGGCTGCTTTTAGACAGCATGGCCTTCCACAGGGGAGCCATGGGCCTGGGCCCCCTGCTCGCCTGGCAAGCCTTCCCCACCAAAGGCCCTCCTCCCTGGGCTAGAGAGCCGCCATCCTGGCCTCTCTGCTCCTCCTGCTCCTTCACACCAGGGAGACAGTCGTTGTCCTCGTCCTCGTTGTGGGGGGTTGTCACCGTGGCAACGCCTCTCAGCAGGGTCTCCACGGTAACCAGGCAGTGCTCATTAGCTTAATGATGAGGTCGTGATCCCCGGAGTGGTTGGTAGGTCATGGGAGGGGGAATGTGCCAGAGGGCGTGATGGAGGGAGGGATGGAGGGATGAATAGTCGTGAGCAATCAGGTGAAAAGCAGAGTAAATCCCTACATTAGGCCCAGAGACGGAGACGTCCGGGGGAGTAGGCCGATCTGCTCACTGTCTCCTAAGCAGATTCTGGCCAGATTCTGGCCCAGGCCAGTTCGGTACAGACAAGCCCAACAAGGTCCCAGAAATCCCAAATCTGCTGTGCAGCAACTTAGCTCAGGGGGCGTTTCCCTTCTCTTTAACCAAAAGGTCTTTCTGTAAAGAAGCACTGGTAGTTTTACTGTTTGCTGGTGGGCTGGTACAGCAGAGAGGGGAGTTATTCACCGCGCTGTGACTCAGTCTCACACTGCCTGAGGAGAGTAGTAGCACTGTCTCTCTTCCTGTCTGTGTCCCAAATCGTTCCCTCCTTCACTCGTCTGTTTTCAAATCAAAGCTTCCAAAAACCTTAGATGGACCTTGGCGAAGCTTCCGATCCCTCTGTCTCTTCCCTCTTTTCCCACCAGCAGCCAAACACAACACGGAACGACCGGAGAGAGGGGTGTTTCTCCCCCAGAGAAGGAGAGATCAGAGCAGGGTGTTAGGCGGGTGTATCCGGGCCTAGGGGCTGCATTACGAACCCACTCCAGTCAGAGGAGTGAGAAGCTCTGTGAGTGAGAGGCTGAATGGTCAAACATAAAGAGTCAGATAACCCTAGTCAGCCTTCTGTGTGTTTTATAACTCACACTGCAGCGATGGCCCAAAAACCTGGCCCCATCCGGCCCTTTGTTCAATTTTGTTCTGTGAACCACTCTGCAGATCCTGCAATGTGAATCTGTTTTTCAAAAACAACTATTTGATTTTTTGAAGACGTAGCTCACGTCAAAAAAGGAACACAAAATGACTCTAAAATCCACTAAAAGCACAAGATTAAGATCCAAAGTAGAATTCCAGGTACTGTAGTCAATGCATCCCCTCTGAAAAAGTCCAAAGGCTTCAGAGAATCCACCATTGTACATGTAATAGAGTGCTGATTCTCCATAGTGCTCCTGTAGTTTTAGAGATGGAGCTGGATGGTTCTCTACACGAGGCTTTGCTCTTCTCTTGCTCCCTCTCGCTGATTCACTCTCTGTCTCTCTGATTCACCCTCTCTCTCTCTCTCACTCTCTCTCTCTCTCTCTCTCTCTCTCCTCTCTCTCTCTCTCTCTCTCTCTCTCTCTCTCTCTCTCTCTCTCTCTCTCTTTCTCTCTCTCTCTCTCTCTCTGGCTCTCTGGCTCTCTCTCTCTCTGTAGCTTTAACTGCTCCTGACCTATTTCACTCTCCCGTGAAGTCTTAATAACTTAACCTGATTAGTGCCCATGTCAACACCCTGCTCTGAATCCAGCACTGCAGCAAGAGCCTGAGCCATGTTACACCATCAACCACACACACACACACACACACACACACACACACACACACACACACCACACACACACTCGTTTTGTTTTTCTATCCTCGTGGGGACCTAAAATTGATTTCCATTCAAAATCCTATTTTCCCTAACCCTAACCCTAAACCTAACCCTAACCTATAACCCTAACCCTAAATCTAACTCCTAACCGTAAACACTAACCTCTACCCTTACCGTAACTCTAATTCGAACCCTAATTGTAACCCTAAACCTAACTCTAAGCTTAAAATAGCCTTTGTCCTCATGGGGATGTGGGACATGTCCCCATGAGGGAGACTTTTCCTTGTTTTTTATATACTTGTGGGGACTTTGGGGGATTTTAGAAGAACCAACCCCCACTCTAATATTCTCTCTCTCACACACACACACACACACACACACACACACACACACACATGCAGAAACGTGCAAGGGAATCAAATCAATACAAATCCCCTCTTTTTTCTCACTCAATTATGGGCTCGTCCTAAATGAGTCGACTGGCACTAAAACACATTTAAGTCCTCCGCATCTGGTTGGCCATCTGTGCAGCAATACCAGAGAGAGAGAGGGAGAGGCACCTCTAATTACCCTGTAAGGACACAACAACTCGGGGAAAATAGTCCTCCAAATCAGAATCTCCCCATTTTTGCTTCAAATGAGAGAAGATCTCCAGCCGAGGGAAGGAGAAGAAAGAGAGGAGAGCTGGTCCACAGTTACTGCTACTGTGTGCTGACTGTATATCGCCCCAACACCCTCGCATGTCACAGAGGTTGCTTTCTATGCTGACTCAGATGCTGTGGTCTGTGGGGTGGCCTGGGAGCAATTCGACCATGGCTGCATCTGTCATGACATTAAATAACATCCTGTTCCCTATAGTGCACTTAAGTAGTGCATTATATATGGGTCAAAAGTAGTGCATTATATATGGGTCAAAAGTAGTGCATTATATATGTGTCAAAAGTAGTGCAGTATATAAGGAATAGGACATATTGTCAGCAGCCTGTGCCACTGCTTCAGAGGAGGGAAAGGGAGACTGTTCTTTTAGCAATAGCCAAAGACAGAGAGAGACTACATTTTCAGCATTAGCCTGGACCAGAACTAGCTAGCAGCTTGCTGAGCTCTAATGTTCTGCTCTGGTCCGGAAGTCTCTGTCCACCTGCCTCTGTCTATCACTGGCTGCCCTCTAACTGGCTGTCCTCTAGCTGGCTGTCCTCTAACTGGCTGTCCTCTAACTGGCTGTCCTCTAACTGGCTGTCCTCTAACTGGCTGTCCTCTAGCTGGCTGACCCTCTAACTGGCTGTCCTCTAACTGGCTGTCCTCTAACTGGCTGCCCTCTAACTGGCTGCCCTCTAACTGGCTGTCCTCTAACTGGCTGCCCTCTAACTGGCTGTCCTCTAACTGGCTGACCCTCTAACTGGCTGCCCCTCTAACTGGCTGTCCTCTAACTGGCTGACCCTCTAACTGGCTGTCCTCTAACTGGCTGACTCTCTACCTGGCTGACCCTCTAACTGGCTGCCCTCTAACTGGCTGTCCCTCTAACTGGCTGCCCTCTAACTGGCTGCCCTCTAACTGGCTGCCCTCTAACTGGCTGCCCCTCTAACTGGCTGCCCTCTAACTGGCTGCCCCTCTAACTGGCTGCCCTCTAACTGGCTGCCCCTCTAACTGGCTGTCCTCTAACTGGCTGCCCTCTAACTGGCTGACCCTCTAACTGGCTGCCCTCTAACTGGCTGTTCTCTAACTGGCTGCCCCTCTAACTGGCTGACCCTCTAATTGGCTGACCCTCTAACTGGCTGTCCTCTAACTGGCTGTCCTCTAACTGGCTGTCCTCTAACTGACTGTCCTCTAACTGGCTGTTCTCTAACTGGCTGCCCCTCTAACTGGCTGACCCTGTAACTGGCTGCCCTCTAACTGGCTGTCCTCTAACTGGCTGTCCTCTAACTGGCTGTCCTCTAACTGACTGTCCTCTAACTGGCTGTTCTCTAACTGGCTGCCCCTCTAACTGGCTGACCCTCTAACTGGCTGCCCTCTAACTGGCTGACCCTCTAACTGGCTGCCCTCTAACTGGCTGCCCCTCTAACTGGCTGCCCCTCTAACTCGCTGACCCTCTAACTGGCTGTCCTCTAACTGGCTGTCCTCTAACTGGCTGACCCTCTAACTGGCTGCCCCTCTAACTGGCTGACCCTCTAACTGGCTGTCCTCTAACTGGCTGCCCTCTAACTGGCTGTCCTCTAACTGGCTGTCCTCTAACTGGCTGCCCTCTAACTGGCTGCCCTCTAACTGGCTGTCCTCTAACTGGCTGCCCTCTAACTGGCTGCCCCTCTAACTGGCTGCCCCTCTAACTGGCTGCCCTCTAACTGGCTGCCCTCTAACTGGCTGCCCTCTAACTGGCTGTCCTCTAACTGGCTGCCCCTCTAACTCGCTGTCCTCTAACTGGCTGACCCTCTAACTGGCTGCCCCTCTAACTGGCTGTCCTCTAACTGGCTGACCCTCTAACTGGCTGACCCTCTAACTGGCTGACCCTCTAACTGGCTGCCCTCTAACTGGCTGCCCTCTAACTGGCTGTCCTCTAACTGGCTGCCCCTCTAACTCGCTGTCCTCTAACTGGCTGCCCCTCTAACTGGCTGCCCTCTAACTGGCTGACCCTCTAACTGGCTGACCCTCTAACTGGCTGCCCTCTAACTGGCTGCCCTCTAACTGGCTGTCCTCTAACTGGCTGCCCCTCTAACTCGCTGTCCTCTAACTGGCTGACCCTCTAACTGGCTGCCCCTCTAACTGGCTGTCCTCTAACTGGCTGACCCTCTAACTGGCTGCCCTCTAACTGGCTGCCCTCTAACTGGCTGACCCTCTAACTGGCTGACCCTCTAACTGGCTGACCCTCTAACTGGCTGTCCTCTAACTGGCTGCCCCTCTAACTGGCTGCCCCTCTAACTCGCTGTCCTCTAACTGGCTGCCCCTCTAACTCGCTGTCCTCTAACTGGCTGACCCTCTAATTGGCTGCCCCTCTAAGTCGCTGTCCTCTAACTGGCTGACCCTCTAACTCGCTGTCCTCTAACTCGCTGACCCTCTAACTGGCTGACCCTCTAACTGGCTGCCCTCTAACTGGCTGCCCTCTAACTGGCTGACCCTCTAACTGGCTGACCCTCTAACTGGCTGCCCTCTAACTGGCTGCCCCTCTAACTGGCTGACCCTCTAACTGGCTGCCCTCTAACTGGCTGACCCTCTAACTGGCTGTCCTCTAACTGGCTGACCCTCTAACTGGCTGCCCTCTAACTGGCTGACCCTCTAACTGGCTGCCCTCTAACTGGCTGCCCCTCTAACTGGCTGCCCCTCTAACTCGCTGACCCTCTAACTGGCTGTCCTCTAACTGGCTGTCCTCTAACTGGCTGACCCTCTAACTGGCTGCCCCTCTAACTGGCTGACCCTCTAACTGGCTGTCCTCTAACTGGCTGCCCTCTAACTGGCTGTCCTCTAACTGGCTGTCCTCTAACTGGCTGCCCTCTAACTGGCTGTCCTCTAACTGGCTGTCCTCTAACTGGCTGCCCTCTAACTGGCTGCCCCTCTAACTGGCTGCCCCTCTAACTGGCTGCCCTCTAACTGGCTGTCCTCTAACTGGCTGCCCTCTAACTGGCTGTCCTCTAACTGGCTGCCCCTCTAACTCGCTGTCCTCTAACTGGCTGACCCTCTAACTGGCTGCCCCTCTAACTGGCTGTCCTCTAACTGGCTGACCCTCTAACTGGCTGACCCTCTAACTGGCTGACCCTCTAACTGGCTGCCCTCTAACTGGCTGCCCTCTAACTGGCTGTCCTCTAACTGGCTGCCCCTCTAACTCGCTGTCCTCTAACTGGCTGACCCTCTAACTGGCTGCCCCTCTAACTGGCTGTCCTCTAACTGGCTGACCCTCTAACTGGCTGCCCTCTAACTGGCTGCCCTCTAACTGGCTGACCCTCTAACTGGCTGACCCTCTAACTGGCTGACCCTCTAACTGGCTGTCCTCTAACTGGCTGCCCCTCTAACTGGCTGCCCTCTAACTGGCTGTCCTCTAACTGGCTGCCCCTCTAACTCGCTGTCCTCTAACTGGCTGACCCTCTAACTGGCTGCCCCTCTAACTGGCTGTCCTCTAACTGGCTGACCCTCTAACTGGCTGCCCTCTAACTGGCTGCCCTCTAACTGGCTGACCCTCTAACTGGCTGACCCTCTAACTGGCTGACCCTCTAACTGGCTGTCCTCTAACTGGCTGCCCCTCTAACTGGCTGCCCCTCTAAGTCGCTGTCCTCTAACTGGCTGACCCTCTAACTCGCTGTCCTCTAACTCGCTGACCCTCTAACTGGCTGACCCTCTAACTGGCTGCCCTCTAACTGGCTGTCCTCTAACTGGCTGCCCTCTAACTGGCTGCCCTCTAACTGGCTGCCCTCTAACTGGCTGTCCTCTAACTGGCTGCCCTCTAACTGGCTGCCCTCTAACTGGCTGCCCTCTAACTGGCTGCCCCTCTAACTGGCTGCCCTCTAACTGGCTGCCCCTCTAACTGGCTGCCCTCTAACTGGCTGACCCTCTAACTGGCTGTCCTCTAACTCGCTGACCCTCTAACTGGCTGCCCTCTAACTGGCTGCCCTCTAACTGGCTGACCCTCTAACTGGCTGCCCTCTAACTGGCTGCCCTCTAACTGGCTGCCCTCTAACTGGCTGACCCTCTAACTGGCTGCCCTCTAACTGGCTGCCCTCTAACTGGCTGTCCTCTAACTCGCTGTCCTCTAACTGGCTGCCCTCTAACTGGCTGCCCTCTAACTGGCTGTCCTCTAACTCGCTGTCCTCTAACTGGCTGACCCTCTAACTCGCTGTCCTCTAACTGGCTGACCCTCTAACTGGCTGTCCTCTAACTCGCTGACCCTCTAACTGGCTGACCCTCTAACTGGCTGACCCTCTAACTGGCTGACCCTCTAACTGGCTGACCCTCTAACTGGCTGTCCTCTAACTGGCTGCCCTCTAACTGGCTGCCCTCTAACTGGCTGCCCTCTAACTGGCTGACCCTCTAACTGGCTGCCCTCTAACTGGCTGCCCTCTAACTGGCTGCCCTCTAACTGGCTGACCCTCTAACTGGCTGCCCTCTAACTGGCTGCCCTCTAACTGGCTGTCCTCTAACTCGCTGTCCTCTAACTGGCTGCCCTCTAACTGGCTGACCCTCTAACTCGCTGTCCTCTAACTGGCTGACCCTCTAACTCGCTGTCCTCTAACTGGCTGACCCTCTAACTGGCTGTCCTCTAACTCGCTGACCCTCTAACTGGCTGACCCTCTAACTTGCCGACCCTCTAACTGGCTGACCCTCTAACTTGCTCTCACTCTCTTGTGCTCACACATGGACACATTTCTGAACCCAAACAGAGGACAGCGTGAGTCTTCACAGTCAACTGACCTCGTGCCCAGACCACTGCTGCCTGGTCGATTGGCTAATGCCCTCTCACACAAACACACACAGAGAGCGAGAGAGGCATGATGGGAAGGAGATAAAGAGGGTGCCTTCTCAAATCCCCCCATGGCGGTCTGAGGCTGTTGCCATGGCAATCAGAGGGAGACAGAGGGAGGGCAGTGGGTTCATCCAATCACAACGCTCCTCTCCAATGACTGTCCCCATGGGGCTGGTTAGCACTGGTGACATCATATAGCATGGCCCTGACTCATCGTGTTAACATTACCACTAATGTGGCTAACGCTATAAAAACCAGCCACGGTAAACATGTCCACCAGCATGAGGGGGGAAAGGAGTGGAGAGGGTGAGAAAGAGAGAGGGCAAAGATGATTGTGAGGTAGTGAGCTAAAAAAAGAGAAGCAGAGAAATATGGTGGATTGACACAGTGAGGGAACCCCCTCTAAAACTGGCCCCCTTTGGGTTCCTCCCTTAAACTCCCCGGGCCCCTTCAAAATTTTTTGGCCCCCTTTGGGAACCCCCAACCCTTTGGGAACTGGCTGAACCCCCTTTCCTTAAACGGGGCCCCCCGGGACCCCTCTAACTGGCCGGGGGGGGGGGGGGGGGGGGGGAAAAAAAAAAAAAAAAAAAAAAAAAAACCCTTTTTTAAAACTGGCCTTTTCCCGACCGGCTGCCCTTAAATTGGTTTCCCCCTAACCCCCACAAAGGGCGGAACCTATAAAGGAAAAAAGGGGTCCCCAAATCCCCAACCCCCAATGGGGGTTTTTAAAGGGTTCCCCTCAACGGGGGAAACCCGGGGAGGGCAAGGGGGTTCCCTCAACCCGGCTCCTCTAACCCCTGTCCTCAGGGGCCCCTTAAGGGGCCCCCAACTGGTGCCCCTCAAAAGGGGCGGGCCCTTTAACTCCGGTTCCCCTTAAACCCCCCTTTAAGGGGGGAAAACCCTAATATTTAAAAAACCCCAACCCGCGTAAACAGGAAACCCAAAAATTTTGAAAAAAGAGGAAAGGGATATTAAGGGGTAAAAGGAATCGGGGAAAGGAATTGGCCTGGGTGGCTAAAAACAAAACAAAAGAGGGGAGAACATTGATGGGAAAAAGAAAAAAAAAAAAGGGGGGTTTGCCTTACCCCAAATCCCCCAGGGGTTTTTTGGCTGGGGAAACCGGGGGGGCGTGGGACCAAATCCCCCAAAAACCTTTGATGATTCCCCGGGGCTGTTGACTTTGGGAAGCCAATTGCGGGGGGCCCTTTCCCATGTGTTAACGTCCTTGTGGTCCTTTATCCAGGGGGAAAAACAAAAAAAGGGGGGGAAAAGGGGGGGGGGGAAAAAAAACAAAATATTTTTAACTAAAAAAGGGAAACAAAAATATTAGCACCGTAAAAAAAGAAAAAAAAAAAGGAGGAATCTGTTCATTTAAAAAAAGCCTTTTTTTGGAAAAAACCACTCGCACAACAACCAAAGGGATCAAATTTTAAACCCTTTGTCGAGCACCTGCCAAACGTGTGGATCCAGGAAGGGGTGGCCCCCTAAAGAGGAAAACAAAAAATTTTTTTAAACCCCCCCGGGCCCCCCCAAAAAAAACAACAAATTTTCCCCCCAAAACCCCCATAAGGTCAAACACCCCAAAACAAGGGGACATGATAAGAAATTTGGGGTTCCCAAGGGTATTGGGTTTCGAAAAACATTTAAGAAACAACAAATGGTAAACCATCCCGGTTTTTGGGGAAAATTGTGATTTTGTAAATCCTTCGGGATTTTTTAAAAAGGGGGAAACCCCCTTTCCATCACTCCCCCAACGGTCCAACCTTTGGCCACCCCTTGCCAACTTGTTGGGAAGGTTGGGAATTGTTTTGAAAAATGTGGGTTTGGACGAAAACAAAGTTTAGTTCCTTGGAAGGCCTTGGGGGTTTGTCCCCCAGGGTTTTGGGTCGGTTGTGGCAACCCGGGCCCCTTTTCCAACTCCCCCGGCGCGGGGGGGAACTCCGGCCCGGGCCCTGGGTGGGGTTTTAAAAACTTTCTCAAAAGTTCCCCCTTTGGGGGAAGCAGGGGTTTAAAAAACAAAGATTTCCTGGGGGCCGGGGTGTAAATGGGTCAATGGAGCCCCCCAGATTTTTGAAGGGGAAAAAGGGCTAAGGGCCGGGGGGGAAAAAATCAAAGGAAAACCCTTAAAAGATCATAAGGAACGAAGGGGGGTTTTTGAAGGAAGGTTAATGGGAGCCCAGACAGGGGGAAAAAAGAGTCAATAGGAGACAGACCAAAGGGGTAAAGGGAAAAGAGCCCAATGGAAAGACAGACGGGGGTTAAAGGAAGGGGCAATAGGAGACAAAACAGAGGGGAAGGAAGGGGAAATTAGGAGACAGGACAGAGGGTGAAAGGAAAAAGAGTAATAGGGGGAACAGACAGGGGTGAAAAGGAAGAGTAATAGGAAAACAGAAAAAGGAGGGTGAAAGGAAGAGTAAAAGGGGAAACAGACAGAGGGGGGAAGGAAGGGGTAAAAAAATAAGGAGACAACAGGGGGGGAAGGAAGGAAAGATTTAAAGGGGGGGAAAGACAGGGGGTGAAGGAAGAGTCAATAGGGAAAGACGAGGGTGAAGGAAAGGGTTTAATAGGAGACACAGAGGGGAAGGAAGAGTCAATAGGAGAAAAAGGGTAAAGGGAAAAGGGGGTTCAATAGGAAAAAAGACAGAGGGTGAAGGAAAGGGGAAGGGGTTAATAGGGGGACAGAAGGGGGTTTAAAGGGAAAAAGAAGGTAAAATAGGAGACAGCAGGGGGTTAAAGGGGAAAGAAAAAGGGAGCAAAAGGGGGAAGGAAAAAAAAACAGAGGGGAAGGAAGATCAATAGGGGGAACAGACAGAGGGTTGAAGGAAAGGAATAGGGAAGACAGAGGGTGAAGGGAAAAAAAGGTAAAAGGGGGAGACGGGACAGAGGGAAGGAAAAAAGTAAAATAGGAGGACGGGCCCGGGGGTTTGGGGAATGAAAAATTGGAAAGAAAAAGGAAAGAGTCAATAGGAGAAAGCCCCAGAGGGGAAGGAAGGTAATAGGAGACAGGAAGAGGGGGAAAGGAAGAGTCAATAGGGGACAGGGGGGTGAAGGAAAAAAAGGGGGTCAATGGGAGCCAGAAGGGGGGGAAAAAGGGAAAAAAAGATTTAATAGGAGAAAACCCGAGGGTGAAAGGAAAAAGAGTCAATAGGAGACAAGAGGGTAAAGGGAAGGGGGTCAAAGGGGGACAGACGGGAGGGGGGAAGGGAAGGGAAGGTTAATAGGAGACAGACAGGGGGGTGAAGGAAGGGGAAAAGGAGACAAAAACAGGGGGTTTGAAGGAAGAGCCCAATAGGAGACAAAAGGGGTAAAGGGAAAGGAAGAGTAAATGGGAAAGCAGACAGGGGTGAAGGAAGAGTCAATAGGGACAGACAGGGGGTTGGAAAGGAAGAGTCAATAGGGGGACAAAGAGGGTGAAGGAAGGAAAAAAAAGGGTTAAAAGGAGAAAGGAACAGAAGAGGGTTTAAAGGGAAAGGAGTAAATGGGCCCAAAACAGGGGTGAAAGGAAGAGTAATAGGAAAACAAGGGAAAAGGGTGGGGGATTAAAGGGAAAGAGTCAATGGGACAGAAGGGGAAGGAAGGTCAATAGGAGAAAGGGGGTTTAAAGGGAAGGGGTTAATAGGGACGGGACAGAGGGGAAAAAGGAAGATTTTAATAGGGGGAAGACAGAGGGTAAAGGAAGAGTAATAGGGGGGAAGCCCAAAGGGGGGAAAGGAAAGGAAAGGAAGGGGGGGTAAAAAGGAAAGGAGCCCAGACAGAGGGTAAAGGGGAAAAAGGCAATGGGGGAAAAAGGGGGGGATAAAGGGAAAAAGCCCAATAGGAGACGGGACAGAGGGTGAAGGAAAGGGGTCAAAGGAGCCAAAACAAAAGGGTTTGTGAAGGAAGAGTAAATGGGGAGACAGAAAAGAGGGTAAAGGGAAAAGATTTAAATAGGAGACGGGACAGAGGGTTGAAGGAAGAGTTAATATGAGGACAGAGGGTAAAGGAAAAAGGTAAATGGGGGAGCCCCCAAAGACAGAGGGTGAAGAAGAGTCAATAGGAGACAGGAAAAGGGGGTTAAAGGAAAGGGGGCCCAATAGGAGCCCGACAGAGGGTAAAAGGAAAAAAGGTAAATAGGGACAGACAGGGGTTGAAGGAAGATTTAAAAAAGAGACAGACAGAGGGTGAAGGAAGAGTTAATAGGAGACAGAGAGAGAGGGTGAAGGAAGAGTAAAAGGGGAAAAGACGGTTTCCCAGGGGAAGGGGATTTGAGCAGGGTTTAAAAGCAACACCAGGTTTGGGGAAATTTGTTTCCCATCATGGTACAAGTGTATTTTGGGGTTTACCCCAAGTTGTTTTGGGTTTTTAAAAGTGGCGGTTTAAAATTTTTAAAAGTGTTTGCTTCAGATAGAATTTGTTTCCCCGTGGGGGAAACCGGGGTATGGTGGGGGGTGGTGGAAAAGGTGTGGTGGTGGGGGGGACAGGGGGGTGGGGGGTGGGGGGGGGGGAAAGGGTGGGGGTTTGGTGGTGGGGGCCCGGGTTTGTGGTGGGGGAAATAGGTGGGGTGGTGGTGGTGGATAGGTGGGGTTTGGTGGGGTGTGGGGACCAGGTGTGGTGGTGGTGGGGGACTAGGTGTGGTGGGTGGGGTGGCCCAGGTGGGTGGTGGGGGGATGGGGTGGGGGTGGTTGGTGGGGACCAGGTGTGGTGGTGGTGGACTAGGTGTGGTGGTGGTGGTGGAAAGGTGTGGTTGGTGGTGGTGGGTGGACCGGGGAAAGGGGGGGGGTGGGGGGCCCAAGGTGTGGTGGTGGTGGACCAGGAAGGGTGGTGGTGGTGGACCAGGTGTGGTGGTGGTGGACCGGGAAAGGGGTTTTGGTGGGGTGGCCTACTTACCCCCCCCGGCCGGGGGTGGAAAGCCTGCCCCCCCCAAGGGGGCCCGGGGGGCCCCTTTGGCCTTTCTCAGCGGTCCTCCAGGGCTCCCACGCGGGCCCACCAGTTTGGGAAAGGCCCTTGTATTTTGGGGGGGGGCGCGGGAGGGCCCCAGACCACCCCCAAGATGACCCCCAGCCCTCGTCCTCCTGGGCCCCGCTCTGTGGGGCAAAGGCCGGGGAAAACTGGACACCCCAGTTGACCTTGCGGGGGGTGGAGGGGCCGTTGGAGGGTTCGCTGGGGGTAGAAAGAGAGCGCAGGCGGCCCTGGAGGCCCCGGATCACTGTCTGAGAGCGGGAGAGCTGCGAGCGAAGGTCCTCAACCAATCGCTGGAGAGATGTTATGTTGTCAGCCTCGGAGGTTGATGTTGGAGGACCGGCCTTCCCAGGATGCATAGTGCCTGACCACCACTGAGCGCCGCTGCACTCCAGAGATGTGGACATCTCCAGATCGTCAAACTCTGAGGGGAATAGGGGGACGTGGGTTAGACAACTGATATGCTGCCCTCTTGTGGTTTTACTAAACCATAGCAGATTGTTTTAATCTCCCAAAAGAGTACAGCAGTACTTCAGTGTAAAGATGACCTGCAGGTGTTTGTAGTGTTAAGGACATAGAGTAATAGTAAATGCTGCACCTGGGCTGCTGGCCTCCTCCCGCTCAGCCTCGTTCTCACTGCGACCACAAGTGGGAAAAAAAAAAAAAAAAAAAAAAAAAAAGGGGGGGAAGGGGGAAAAAAAGGGGGAAAAAAGGGGGAGAGAGGGGAAAAAAAAAAAAGGGGAAAAAGGGGGGGGGAGGGGGGAAAGGGAAAAAAGGGGGGGGGAAAAAGGGGGAAGGGGGTTGGGGGGGGAAAGAAAGGGGGAAAAAAAAAGGGGGGGGGAACCGGGGAAGAGGTTTGGGGGGGGGGGAGGAAGGGGGGGGAAAAAGGGGGGGGAAAAAAGAAAAGGGGAGGGGGGGGGGAAGGAAAAAAAAAGGGAAAACCAAAAAAAAAAAGAGGGGAAAAAAGAACAAAAAAAAAAAGGTAAAACCTTTTTTTTGGGGGGGGGGGGGGGGGAAAAGGGGGGAGGGGGGGGGGAAAAAAAAAAAAGGGGGGGGGAAAGGGGGAAAGGGGGGGGGGGGGGTGAAAGGGGGGGGGGGAAAAAGGGGAAAAGGGGGGGAAAAGGGGGGGGGTTTTTTTTGGGGGAAAAACTGTGTGATGCGGGTATATGTTGGTTGATGAGGGTATATGTGTGAGAGGGTATATGTGTGATGAGGGTTATGTGTGATGAGGGTGTATGGTAATGAGGGTACTATGTGTGATGAGGGTATATGTGGTGATGCGGGTATATGTGTGATGAGGTATTTGTGTGATGAGGGTATATGTGTGATGAGGGTATATGTGTGATGAGGGTATATGTGTGATGAGGGTATATGTGTGATGAGGGTATTTGTGTGATGAGGGTATATGTGTGATGAGGGTATATGTGTGATGAGGGTATATGTGTGATGAGGGTATATGTGTGATGAGGGTGTATTTGTGATGAGGGTATATGTGTGATGAGGGTATATGTGTGATGAGGGTATATGTGTGATGAGGGTGTATGTGTGGTTGACTCACTCAGTAGGTCTCTATAGTCTTTGATCTGTTCAGCCTGGGCCTGCACCGTGGCCTCAGACACCATGAGTCTCTCCTTCAGCTCGTTGCTCTCTAGCTGCAGATGTACAGCCTTCTCAACCATCCCCGTCTCCGTGGCGCTGTGCCGCCTGCCTCCAGCCTCTCCTCCTGCCTCCTCATCATCCTCACCATCCTCATCCTGCAACACAAGACCAGAGCAATGTTACATCCATAGAGATGCAGATATTCATTTCAGGCCTAAAAAACACGAACAGTTGATCTATCTATATACAGTATCACACATTATTAGAGTATTATTTGGTGTGTGGTGGTTCCCCCTACCTGTATGGAGTGGGACAGCAGGGCTCCCAGGTCCAGAGAGACAGGCCTAGTGCAGTGTCTCTTCCCTAGGCTAAGGTCTCTCAGGGTGGGCCTGAGGGCACAGCACTTCCCCTGGGACGGACACTCATCATCCCAGGCCTCCCACAGCTCAGACCCACACAGCTCCTCCTCCTCCTCCTCTTCTTCATCCTCCTCTTCCTCCAGAAGAATCTGTTCATGCCTAAGGTCTGTCTCTGGCTGTCTCTCTGTCTGGTGAGATTTCAGCTCCTCATTCTCCATGCGTAGGCTGAAGAGGGCTTTCCTGTGAGAGAGAGAACACAGACAAACCTCAGCTGACACCTCTCGTGTCCACTGCTCCGGTCAGGGTGAAAACCACAGACGTTTGTACACCTATAAGCTGGACCTCTGTATACCAGTGGAGGCTCCTCAGAGGAGGAAGGGGAGGACCATCCTCCTCAGTGAATTTCATTAAAATCTAAATACTGAAACATTAAAGAAGTTATCCTTTTTAGATAAAACTATACAAAATATATTCACGTCACCAAATAATTGATTAAAATACACTGTTTTGCAATTACAATGAAGGTCTACAGTAGCCTCAACAGCACTCTGTAGAGTAGCACCATGGTGTAACCGGAGGACAGCTAGCTTCTGTCCTTCTCTGGGTACATTGACTTCAATACAAAACAAAACCTAGGAGGCTGATGGTTCTCACTGTCACGACTTCTTGTTCGGGCAGGCTTCGGCGTTCATCGTCACCGGCCTTCTAGCCACTGCAGCTCCATATCTCATCATTCCATTTGTCTTGTCTTGTCAATTACACACACCTGGTTTATATTCTCCTCATTAGTATGTGTTTAAGTGTTCCCTCTGCCCCTTTGTCCTTGTGGGTGATTGTTCATTGTGAGGATTAGTAGCTTGGTTGAGCTCAGTATTTTGTATTGCCAGGGTATTTTCCCTGTGTGCATGTTTGTTCCAGTGCTCCTGTTTTGCGCACTGGACTGGTTACGCTGGATTACGGAATAAACTCTGTATACTGTGATTAACCCTCCTGCGCCTGACTCCTTCAAATCACGCATCACAGAATCACCCACCCGCTATGGAGTCAGCGGGAGAAGAGCGCATGCCTGGAGTCGTGGCACGGGTCCAGGAGCATTCAACAATGCTAGCCAGCTTGGGAGAAGCGATGGATTCTCCAGGTCGTCATTCGCCTGGAGAGGAGAGGACCGGATCTGTCGAGACCAGCTGGGCAACCGGATCCAGCCACCCACACCCCAGCACCCAGAGGGATCCATATATCGACGGGACAGCTGCTCTCTGCCAGGGATTCCTCCTCCAACTGGAGCTCTACTTCTCCAGCATAAGGCCGACCCCATCGGAGCAGGAGAAGGTGTCCGCCCTCGTCTCCTGCCTCTCGGGGAAAGCCCTGGAGTGGGCCAACGCGGTCTGGAACGAAGGAGGAGCCGCGTTGGACAACTACGGGGAGTTCGCTTGCCTCTTTCAGGCTGTCTTCGATCACCTGACCGAAGGTCGAGAGGCGGGCGAGCGGCTGGTCCACCTGAGGCAAGGGACGAGAACTGCGCAGGACTTCGCCTTGGAGTTTCGGACTCTAGCAGCTGGGTCCGGGTGGAACGAGCGTGCCCTTATCAACCACTTCAGGTGCCATCTGCGGGAGGACGTCCGAAGGGAGCTAGCCTGCCGGGACACCATGTTGTCCTTCACGCAACATGGCCATCCGTTTGGACAACCTGCTGGCGGCCAGACGACGTCCTGGAGGGGGTCTGCCCGTTCCAACCCCGGCCGACTCGTATCACGAGCTGATGGAGCTGGGTGGAGCCGCAATCCGCGAGAGCGGAGGAGACAGCGCCAGTGTCACTCTAGTGGCACAAAGGGACATTACACCGCACAATGTCGTCAGCGTTCTTTTGGGTCTGGAGGTGGCAGGCAGGGCACTCTCGCATCACCCCAGGTATCGAACACCCACACTTGTTCAGAGCCCTCTGCTGCACACTGTACCCTACCCATCCACTTTCCTGATCACATTGTAGTTCCCCAGTGTAAGGCGCTTGTCGATTCAGGCACAGCTGGGAACTTTATGGACAGGGCATTCTCACACAGTCTAGGCATTTCATTGGTTCCCCTATCCATTCCACTCCCCATCAGAGCACTTGACAGTCGACCATTAGGGTCCGGGTTTGTTAGGGAAGTTACCGCACCAATCACCATGGTTACCCACGAGACTCATTGCGAGCAAGTCACGTTTTTTATCATTGAGTCTCCTGCTTTCCCTGTGGTACTAGGTATCCCTTGGTTAGCACTCCACATCCCCACATTCTCATGGCCGCAGAGGGTTCTCACGGGGTGGTCGCGAGAGTGTCAGGGTAGATGTCTCTGTGTTTCCGTTGGTGCAACCACGGTGGAAAGTCCAGACAGTACCTCCACCGTGCACATTCCCCCCGAAAACCTCGATTTGGCGCACGCGTTTTCCAAAACGCAGGCGACCAAGTTACCACCTCATCGGGCGGGGGATTGCGCAATAAACCTCCAGATACACGCTGTGCCTCCCAGGAGTCATGTGTATCCCCTGTCACAGGCTCAAACGGAGGCTATGGAAACATACGTTACCGAGTCCCTGTGCCAGGGGTTTATACGTCCCTCCACTTCACCCGCCTCCTCAAGTTTATTTTTTGTGAAGAAGAAAGACGGCGGTCTGCGCCCTTGCATTGATTATCGATCACTGAACAAGGAGACCATATGATTTAGTTATCCTCTCCCCCTCATTCCTTCAGTGATCGAGTCAATGCATGGGGCGCGCTTCTTCACCAAATTAGATCTCTGGAGTGCGTACAACCTGGTGCGTGTCCAAGAGGGGGATGAGTGGAAGCCAGCATTCAGCACAACCACAGGGCATTATGAATACCTGGTGATGCCCTACGGTTTGATGAATGCTCCATCTGTCTTCTAGTCCTTTGTGAACGAGGTGTTTCGGGACATGCTTGTTCGCGGTGTAGTGGTCTACATTGTTGACATTCTGGTGTATTCCACTACGCGTGCCGAGCATGTGTCCCTGGTTCGCAAAGTGCTGGCCTGACTGTTGGAAAATGATCTTTATGCCAAGGCAGAAAAGTGTCTGTTTTTCCAGCAGTCCGTCTCCTTCCTCGGATACCGCATTACCACCTCAGGTGTGGAGATGGAGGGAGATCGCATTTCAGCCGTGCGTAATTGGCCAACTCCAACCACGGTTAAGGAGGTGCAGCGCTTTATTGGCTTCACCAACTACTATCGGAGGTTTATCCGGGGCTTTGGCAAGGTCGCAGCTCCCATTACATCTCTGTTGAAGGGGGGGCCGTCCCGGCTCCGCTGGTCTGCCGGGGTGGACAGTGCCTTCAGTAACCTGAGGGGTCTGTTCACCTCAGCCCCGGTACTGGCCCACCTCGATCCATCACTACCGTTCGTAGTGGAGGTGGATGCGTCCGAGGTAGGGATAGGCGCTGTCCTATCTCAACGCTCGGACACGCCACCCAAGCTCCGCCCCTGTGCCTTCTTCTCTAAGAAGCTCAGCCCGGCAGAACAGAACTACGACGTTGGTGATCAGGAGCTGATGGCTGTTGTCCGAGCCCTGACCGTGTGGAGACATTGGCTCGAAGGGGCGAAACACCCTTTCCTCGTCTGGACGGACCACCGTAACCTGGAGTACATCCGGGCAGCGAGGAGGCTGAAACCTCGCCAGGCCAGGTGGGCCCTATTCTTCACCTGGTTTGATTTCACACTATCATACATCCCGGGTATGAAGAACGTGAAGGCAGACGCATTGTCACGGCTGTATGACACTGAGGAGAGACCCAGAGACAACACCCCCATACTCCCGGCCTCCTGCATTGTGGCACCAGTAGTATGGGCGATGACGTGGATATAGAGCAGGCGTTACACACAGAGCCATCTCCACCTCAGTGTCCAGCTGGGTTGCGGTATGTGCCTGATCTTATCTGGGACCGTCTGATCTACTGGGCACACACGTCACCCTCCTCTGGTCACCCAGGTATCGGCCGTACAGTGCGCTGCCTGACCGGAAAGTACTGGTGGCCTACCTTGGCTAAGGACGTGAGGGTGTATGTCTGCTCCTGCTCGGTGTGCGCCCAGAGTAAGGCACCTAGGCACCTCCCAGCGGGTTAGTTACAACCTTTACCAGTTCCACAACGACCATGGTCTCACCTGAGTGTTGATTTCCTTACTGATCTTCCCCTCTCCCAAGGTAACACCACCATCCTGGTCGTTGTGGACCGCTTTTCCAAGGCCTGCCGCCTCCTTCCTCTGCCCAGTCTCCCCACGGCCCTGCTAACTGCGGAGGCCCTGTTTACACACGCCTTCCGGCACTATGGGGTACCAGAGGATATAGTGTCTGACCGGGGTCCCCAGTTCACATCCAAGGTCTGGAAGACGTTCATGGAACGTCTGGGGGACTCGGTCAGCCTGATCTCTGGTTTCCACCCTGAGTCTAATGGGCAGGTGGAACGGGTAAATCAGGATGTGGGTAGGTTCCTGCGGTCCTACTGCCAGGACCGGCCGGGAGAGTGGTCAGGGTTCTTGCCATGGGCCGAATATGCCCAGAACTCTCTCTGTCACTCCTCCACTAACCTAATGCCATTCCAATGTGTTTTAGGTTACCAACCGGTTCTGGCACCGTGGCACCAGAGCCAGACCGAGGCTCCTGCGGTGGATGACTGGTTTCGGCGCGCCGAGGAAACGTGAGACGCTGCCCACGTCCACTTCCAACACGCTGTGTGTCGTCAGAAGGCCAGCGCTGACCGCCAACGCAGTGAGGCCCCGGTCTTCGTACCGGGTGATCGGGTCTGGCTCTCGACCCGGAATCTGCCCGTCCGCCTGCCCTGCCGGAAGCTGAGCCCGCGTTTTTTTTGGGCCGTTCAAAGTCCTGAGGAGAATCAACGAGGTTACCTATAGGTTGTTACTCTCCCATGATTACCGTATTAACCCCTCGTTTCATGTGTCTCTCCTCAGGCCGGTGGTGGCTGGTCCGCTCCAGGAGTCTGAGGTGCAGGAGGTCCCTCCGCCTCCACTGGACTAAGAGGGGGCCCCGGCGTACTCCGTCCGTTCCATCCTGAATTCGAGGCGTCGGGTGGGGGGCCTTCAGTACCTCGTGGAGTGGGAGGGGTATGGTCCAGAGGAACGGTGCTGGGTCCCGGTGAGGCATATCCTCGATCCCTCCCTGTTGCGGGATTTCCACCGTCATCATCCGGCTCGCCCTGCTCCGCGTCCTCCTGGACGTCAAGGGGGGGGGGGGGG